GTAAGACAAGAAAACCCATTTCTTCTTGGTCACTCCGACAACTCAACCGGATCGGCGGAAGGTCTTAGAAATGCTGCCGATTATCGCCTTCCTCTTCTTCCTCCGGCTCCTCTCCGTCGCGACACTCTCCAGCTCTGCTCCAATTCTGGGACTGGACTCCTTTCTCAGCCAACAATCACGGGTTGACCCGCAAGCCTCTAATGACTCCTTCCTCTCTCTGCCTTCCTATCTGAAAAAAACTCTTTCCCAAACCCCGGCTCAACAGTCGGTCTCCATCGCCGCCCTCCTTTCTCTGCAAGTTTCCGTCCCAATCACTGTCAAGCTGGTTGGGAGTAACTTCGCCTCTTCCGCTCCAGACATCCTCTCCTCCTTCATCCTCTCCTCCGTCTCTTTCGATCACTACCATGTCATCTCTCCTTTCACAACCCACCCCACTCATCACCTCTCGGTCTCCCATTCTCTTCACCCGGAAGTCTCTCTGGCCCCTGCTTCCCTCGCTTCCCGTCTCTCCGAAAGCTTAAAATCCCAGCTCGCCTCCACTGCTTCCAGTTTCCGATCTCATCTCGCCTCCGTTCCTTACTCCACCGTTGACCAGATTATCAAAGAGGACTTCGAAAATGAGAAGCCAATTAACGGGATTTACATCTATATTCTCAATTTGGGCGCCCAGTTGAAGCCTTACGCGTATAGCTACAGTCATGGCGATCCGTCTCCCGCCATTACCAAGTGCTTAGGCACTATTTGGACAGGGAAAGACCGTTACATCTGGATCGATTTAGGGGCTGGTCCGGTGGAGTACGGTCCAGCGCTTTCAGGTGATGGCCTTATGCCCAGAGGCGAGTTTCATCCGTTGGCATCTATTCACGGGCGCCCCAAGTCTCACAAGACTATTCTCTCTGATTTGGCTTCATTGGTTTGGAGTGCTTACCAGGTACTTCTTGTTCCTTCATTGAGAATCCCTGTCCCTTTAGAATACTCATTGATAGTTGAGTTCATACATATAAATGGTTCTCCTGATAACAAAGACAGCAGTGGACTGGATTGGAAATCAATAGAGAAGACCTTCATGGATGAAGTGAATGGTAAGGGATTATTGTTAGGCGATCAATCTTTAAGCTTTAAGAAGTATGAGGTGAATTTAGCCGAGTGCGCCATATGCTCCTTTGCCATTTCTAGGGCAACTACTTCTTACACTTCACGATATTTATTTGACAACTACACACTGATTGTTAGTGAGTACCTGGACTCGAAACACTTACACCGGACTTTGTCAGAATCCGCGGGAGAGTTTAGGCGGGTGGCAAAGCTTCCTGAAGAGGAAGACTTTGGGAGGGTTCTTCCAGTCTATGTTTTTGATTTGGATGTCAATATGATTTTGCTGCTCGACCGTTATCATCAGACTGTTGCCTTTAAAGATATGGTTATTGCTGTCAGGACCAAGAGTTCCCAGGCAGTCAGTGATTATACTTGTAATGGACGTCATGTTTTTACCCAGACTCGCGAACTGGAGAGGCCTCTTGTGGGTTCCATTTTACAGAGCATGTGGGGAGTCTCACCTACACATTTGCTTTGGAGCCCCAAGCACAACAGTACTCTTGTAGATTATACATGGAGTGTGGGAAATACACCCTTTGGTCCATTTTCAGAGATTTCATCGCTGTCTTTTGTACAGAAGGATGCTGCTAGAAGGAATGTACTCTTGACTTCATTGAACTTTAGTCTCACTAGTGCTATTGATGTGATTGAGTCCATTACTGCACACGGTGGGGAGAGAAAACTCCTCAAGCATAATCAGCTTCCTGAGTTCATCCAAAGGTGGAATATGTTCAAGTACAAACTCGATAAGGCAGTTTCTGCTCTGTCACATTTTGATTATGAGATGGCATTGTATTACCTAAGGTCATCAGATCATGATCTGTATGCTGTTCACTCTCTTATTTATCAAGCTTCTCAGGATTTGGAGGCATCACTTGTCTGCTTCAAGGATCCACCATTCCCATGGATGTCAGTTTCAATGTCTGCTGGTGTTTTAATTGGTCTTCTCTATATCTTTGCAAAGAGGGAAAACTTGTTTCGGAACAAGAGAAAACAGTTTTGAAATCTTTAGAGCATCAGATTTTATTAGGTTTAAATTGATATAACAACACCTTGTATGAATTCTTTGGACTTCAGAAGTCGGAGAGTGGTACCTTGGTTTTCACTAGCTTTGCTTCTTCTATATGTTAATATCTGCTTGTCATAGATATGAAAGTTTCTGACCTCCCATAGAACAGTATGCCTGTTTAATGGCTATATATTATATTCAGTCAGAAAATGGATTAAAAATAAGTGCTTAAGAAACTTAAACACTTGATGAGATACTGACCACTGGTTGCATCGGATTTTCACAACTTACATCACATAGACACCATTAGGGAACTTGGATAATGACTGCTAGGGTCAGTGATTGATCTGAAGCATTAAATCCTGAGCTTTGTTAATAGCATTGTGTGTTTGCCTGGGGGGGGGGGGGGGGGGGGGGGTAAAGAAATCAGCTACTAGGAGACACTTTGTAAGGTCAGGTTTGATGAGATTTAAAGCGCTAAAGGTGTGGTCGCTAGTCTCTACCATGAAGGAAGAGATATTGGGAAATGGATGAGATGTCATTGTGTGGTGCTATCAAGTATGAATGTATTTTTTTTAGATGTTTTGAATATTTTTGTTCTATGGTTTGCATGTTAGAACTTTTCACGCAAAATGATAACATACAAAGTATAGGGAAATAGTCGATGTGCATGTAAAATAAAAATATATCGTTTGGTTAGGTGTGATTTATGGGGTGTTTGGAATTGATTCTAATTCTGCTTCTTTTTTAGAAGCTGGTATCCCCAGCTTCTAAAAAAACTGATTCTGAGAGTAAATTAGAGCACCAGAAGTGTTTCTGGAATTTCACCCAAACACTTCAGCTTCTGCTTGTGCTCCCTGAAGGAGCAGAATCAGTTTTGAGAATCAGATCCAAACACCCCCTATATAAAAATTACAGGCAAAGTGATTGTAGTGCTTTACAAAGGCTGTGCAAAGTATTTAAAAATCACATTCCTACCGTTTATATTGAATAATCAAATCATACGGGTAAGAAAGCATAAAGATAGGGTTGTCTTAGATTTTTTTTATCAATGATGACAAATTTTGAACAATTATTTTAATTTTTATTATATTTGTGTATAATTTATAAATTTTATATTGTTATGAAAATATTTTTAATAAGGAACATTTTAATATAATTTTCATATTCAAAATAGTTCCGTGTTAAAAAATAAAATTGGTTAAAGTTGGCTACAATTGATTAAGAAAAGTCAACTTGGTGAACCTTTTCGGGAGGAATGGAGTAAAATTTATCCATACATTTGTATGTTTGTACTTTTGGTTAATGTGAGATGACTTAACATGTTTGAAGATGGTGGCTTGTGAAAGCATATCAATTTTGAAGTTGTTACGCTCATTGCTGAGCTTTATTACAGTTGGTTGTTGGAGCTTTAACACACGATATTCACCCATATGACCATATCTCATCCAATCTGTCATCTAATGCATTTCTCACTTGTTTATCATTTACGTAGTAGTGGTATATTTGTTCACGTTTTCATTCGCATTTTTTCATTCAAAATGTCAGCCCTATTCATATACTCCTTCCGTTCCGTTGGAATGTTCCCGGTTTGACCTACACACATATTAAGGAAATAAACTTACCAGGGAGTAAATTTTACTGTTTTGACACTGTTTGGCACTGTTTCAACATTGTTTGACATTGTTTTGATGTAGGATAACTTTCCATTTAGGGAAATGGGAACTTTCCAACGGGACATCCAAAAAAGAAAAGCGGGGAACATTCCAACGGGATGGAGAGAGTAACTAATTAGATCATTCTAACAACCACTGATGTCACCAACGTTGCTGACCACTGCTTTGTCACTTCATTGTTGCTAACATAGTAACATACACCGACTACTATCATCATACATCATTCAATAAATGACGTCTTTCGAACGATTCTCAAAGGGGAGATCACACCGTGTGATTCACACGCTCCGAGACTCATCTTAATCAAGGAGGTTAACATTATTCTTAACATACCATAACAGTTGTAGAAGTTCTCGAGTCTACAGCGGGAAATGAAGTGCCAATAAGAGATTTCCCATTCAACTTCCCATTCATGTTACTTCCCATTCATGTTACTTTACTCCTTTTTTGTAAGGTTTCCAGTACAATAGTTGACCCAACAACTTATACTAGACTGTTGGGGATTGGGGCTGAGTCGAAATTCTAAAAAACAAGTGTTTGGAACTATCTACAAAAACAAAACAATCTTATGTTGTTCTAAATAAGATCCCTATATATAGAACTAAGAATCATTGATTCTGAAACCAGAACTTGAATGGCGGCCTGTACATGCCTAAATTACCCGTGTCTCAAGATTAGAAAAAGCAAGATTCTATGGAAAACTGGAAAAGTTTATTTAGATAGTTCCAAACACTTGTTTTTTTAGAATTTCGAGTCAGCCCCAATCCCCAACAGTCGTAATTGGATCAACTGTTGTACTGGAAACCTTACAAAATGTCGAACATTAATATACAGTATTTAATAATCGAACAAAAAATAAAATGTCGAATTATGCTCTCAGGTCAACAAACATCTGTCAACACTGAAAATGATATAATTTGACCTAACCAACGCATATTCAATTGAAGAAAGACTCATCATCATCACCCCAGTGCCGCAAAGGCTCTCTCTCACTTTCGGTGGGGTAGGGGGGGTCGGATGTACGTAGTCTTACCCCTGTACTAAAGTTTCCGGATGTTTCCATAGTGAAATCGCATCGAAAGTTCCTTGAACTGACTACTGCTTCATAACAAATCGCAAACAATTTAGTGAGCATTTTGCTTTATTCCATCATATAGCCAAGCCAAAAAATAGTGAGTTTTGGCTCCATTGCAAATGATGGAAAACAATTGAAGAAAGACTGATAAAGTAAAAATGTTCTTATTATAGTTGACAAAAAAACATTAAGCGGCTAAGACCACATGCATGTATCTGTAAAAAACAATTGTGTGTGTCAGAGAGCAGGAAGATTTGCCCTAAAACAGATTTATATGGCCCATATGATGTAAGAGCACCACAACTCTTTAGCATGTTTCATTTATATGAACATAGTGCACGTGAGCGTGTGGGCAGGCTTGTTAGCATCCAACTCCTATTTAAGAACAATTGTAAGATCACTTGGACCTATGGGACAAGATCGGTCGAACCGCAGCTTTAAAATCATCGTAAAATCTTTGCTCCGAGAACAAAGAAGCTCGTCTCCTTGCAGCTGTTGCCATCTCCATCCTTTGGGCACTGGACATCTTAATGATTTCAATGATGGCATCAGCATATTCTTCAACATCTTGTGCCAGGAATCCAGTCTGCTTTCCATCTTGAGGCAAAACAATGTCCATCTTCGGGCCAGCAGAATTATGAGCTGGGAAAGATATGAAAATGGTGAAGTTGGTTCATATGCAGCTCGAACAAAGAAATACTTGAGCAACATGGAGATAAGAACCAACCGATTGGTATGGCTCCTGCAGCCATGTACTCCACAATGCATATGCCAAAGTGTTCATCTATCATGGAATGTATACCGGCAACAGCACCACCTAAAAGTCTCACAAGATCACTGCAGCAGCACCCGGGAAAATAAAATTTAATGTCTGACACCATCTTACTCAAGAAAATCAGCTAAAAATTGTATTTTAAAGCATAGAGAAAATACAAATTTGATAGAACAAGCTCCCGATGTACAGAAAATTCACAGAAGATATTAAGCAACACAAATGAAATCTTATTGAAGAAGAACAGTTCCGTAACAATGGTCGAAGCCCCCAATGAGCTGTACCCCCCCAAAAGAAAGAGAAAGTTCTCGATCTTCCCAAAATACCAGATTAAAATGTCTAAAAAAAAACCCTGACTTCTCCCCAGTTTAGTCTATTTATTTATACTAACTAATACACTTATTATTATTCTGTCTATAGGCCCAATTCCCAACAGTCTATTAAGCCCAATTCCTAACAATTCTCCCCCCCTAAACATCCACCTTGCCCTCAAGGTGGGCGATAGGACACAACCACCATCTTCTTCTTTTCCTTCATCCTAGCACCTCTCCCTTTCCAATACTGGATGGATTGCTGGACTTTTAGTTTTGCTGCTTCCATCTTCTTTCCTATGTATTTCACAGTGGATTTACACAGATGCCATGACATTTGTTTTTGTAATTTGGTTCTTTCAGATTCTGTGGAGGTGAAGTCACCACCTGCTGCAACACCGAGGACAGCAACTTCTTGCTTTTGAACACTTTCTTCTTCAATATCAATAGATAACACATGATAGTTCAGCAAGTTTCCTTCTCCTCTCTTATTCACCAAGCTCTTCATCTCCTTATTTATTCCTAGTTGATGATCTCCTTGTATACTAGCCTTCTGCCCCTGTACCCTCCCATTTGATGGTCTGATTTTGAAAGTTAACTGCCATATCCCCTAGGCCAGTTAACCAGCTCATTCCCAGCACTACATCCACTCCCCCCAATTGCAGAATGTAAAATTTTTGCAAAATTTCATTTCCTTGTACAACCACTGTTAACCCATCACACCTACCATAGTTGGGAAGAAATTCCCCATTCCCTAGCTGCACTTTATTCCCCTTAATGCAATCAAAAGGTATCTTCCATTTCTCAACAATCTTCTGTGAAATAAAATTGTGAGTAGCTCCACAATCAATCAAAATATGCACCTTCTTTTCCTCAATCAACCATTTCAGATTTCCCAGGACTTTAAATGTTCTCATGAGTGGCGTTCCTTCTTTGTTCAACACAGATAATTGCATAGTCTTAGCTTCCATAAGAATTCCTTCTTCTTTTTGTTCTTTACTAAAGTCAGATTCTTCCTCCCCTTCATATTGTTCTACCATCATTATTTTAAAATTTTTCATTCTACAAATGTGACCCCGATTCCAGTTTTCACCACATTTAAAACATAACCCTTTCTTACTTCTTTCTTGCAGCTCATTCTGTGATAATCTGGGGGCATGTATTCTTGGAGACAGAACTTGATCCTTCTTCCAGCTTCTTGTTATCATTTGAGTTCTTCATCAATTGATTTGTAGATGTCAGATTATAACTATTTCTACTACCATCTCCCCATTTATGATAGCTCTGTCCACCTGCTGAATTTATTTTCAGAATCTTCTTTCCCTCATCTTTATTCTTTATGATGTTGGCTTCATGGTTCTTGTTTTCAATCAAGGAAGCTGTGTCCATGACAGCAGCTAGGGTTCTTGTAGGATATAATTTCAATTCAGCCCTTACATCTCGTTTCAACCCATTGAGGAACACTCCTCTAAGTACCTCCTCAGTCAGATGCCCCTGCGAAGCTATAGCAACTTCAAACTTATCTTTGTACTCCTTCACCGTCCCTTTTTGCTTCAAACTAAACAAAGATCCCAGAGGATCCTGCACCAAATTTGGTTGAAAACGTTTGCTTAGATCCTTCGTAAAACTCTCCCAAGTCTGGTGACGAGCTTGGCCTTCCCACCATTGGAACCAGCTCAGTGCCTGGTCTTCCATGGCTATCACGGCAACATCAATTTTGTCTTCTTCCTCCGTATGATTCAGGCGGAAATAACGGTTCATTCTTACCAGCCATCCCATAACATCTTCTCCATTAAAAATTGGTAAGTCAATTTTTCTTCCAGTTCGTTGGTGGTGATCATGTCCCCTGCGGCGATGGTGATGGCGGTGTGGTGGTGAACGGTTGTCGTACCCTTCTGAGTTCTCAGAACTCGCTGAGTGTCGCGAATGATGAAGATGAGAAGTGCGATGCGATGCAGATGAGCGATGCGACCTACTTCTCGATCGATCTCGATCGCTTGCATCCAATCTGGCCATAATCGTTGACAACATCTCCGTCATTTGTTGATGATTCCTATCCACCTTATCATCCAATCTGTTGTGGTTATTCTCCAACTCATTCATCCGCAAATCCATCTTTGTCCGTGTCCAGACCATCCACAGAATCTACGTGCTCTGATACCAATGATAGAACAAGCTCCCGATGTACAGAAAATTCAAAGAAGATATTAAGCAACACAAATGAAATCTTATTGAAGAAGAACAGTTCCGTAACAATGGCCGAAGCCCCCAATGAGCCGTAGTCCCCCAAAAGAAAGAGAAAGTTCTCGATCTTCCCAAAATACCAGATTAAAATGTCTAAAAAAAAACCTGACTTCTCCCCAGTTTAGTCTATTTATACTAACTAATACACTTATTATTATTCTTAGTCTATTAGGCCCAATTCCCAACAGTCTATTAAGCCCAATTCCTAACAAAATTATCAAGCAAAAATAAGTAATATGCAGCAAGAAGAATGGCAGAGATCTTATACACTATAGCGGAGCAGCTATGCAGATACTTGATGCAAGCAATAGATGCACATATACATCAAAATTCTGTGAAATCTTCATATCTAATAAAAAACACGCTTTACAAAGAGCATAAGACTTGGAATATAGATCTTTCTATCAATTTTTTCTGCTGGGCCTTTTGTAACTCTATTTTTTCAATACTCGGTTTGAAATGCAAGGATCCTACAAATCAAACACCAATTCTTTTTCCCAGGAACTCAAGAACAAGGACGAACATATGTAAAGTAAAACATAACCATGAAGAAGTACGATTTACATTGAAACCCAAAAGGAAAAATACAGGCCCTTTTTGGACTAAGCCAAGCCGAAAGAGAAAGGTTCTATAATGACGTGTTCTGGTTACATGTACAAAACAACTAGTGTCCATTGGTGGTAGAAATGTAGAACTAAGAGCTCAAGAAAGAAGAAGGCGGTGAGTGAGAGGGGTTCCTTTTTCCTTACAAGACATGGTGTATTTATAGTAGAGTGCAAGGGTTCGGGAAATAACATTTGGGCTATAGCATGGGCTTTACTCCCTCGGGCGTTGATCCTAACACTAGCAATTCATCAACACGCAAGACAGGATTAAAAAAATTCAGACCTCACCAAATTTTTAGGCAATTTAGACGAAGTGCTATTTACAGTAAGAAACTTCATACACACTTGATAAGTCTTGATCCCCTTTTATTTTAAAAATGGATTGTGTTTACTGCTTAGGCTTGCAGTCTAGTGGAAAACCCAACCGGCCTAGACCCCACTAAGCAAACTCCTAAACACTGATTAGAAGCTTAGAAACAGGAAATTGAACTATTTCATGTGGTGAGTTAAAATCAAAATTTCCAACATGATACTTTGGAATGAAATGTAACTTGTATGTGCAAATAAATTCTTGATTGATGAGATAGTTGAATTCATTGTGCAGACACACCTAGCTGGCAAGCTTAAATGCTTTTGCCACAAAAACTAAATACTACTTTTTCCTATTTAGTACTCCGTATCATATTAGATAGCAATCATTAGCAGAAATACATAAAACTGTTCCAAACCTGTACATCAAATTCTTATGGAACTCCACATCATATTCAATATTTAGTTTTTTCGCCATGCCCTTTAAATTTTGAAGTCTATTCTCATCTGCTTCGTTTCTACAACTACCCACAAGTTGGAGCTTAGGCCTAGGTAGGTGCGCTTCCAACTTTTTTATAGCAAGTGCCAAAGCCTCCAATTGGAGAGGGTGAGCCTGGGGCATAGCAAACAAGTACAAGCATAACTTAAGCGGTTAATACTTTCATTGCTTCAAAATGCAACTTAAGTGGTGTATGGATAGCCTCATTCCAAAAAAATGCCCACCTTCTCTGGACGAAATTGAGCTACAGATATAATATTTGGACAATCCATTTGCCTTTCAAGAGGGAGCACCTGCATAAAAATCAATAAGCCAAAGTACAAAGAGTTACGGAAGGCTTAAGGGTTATAGCAAAACAAAGCAAACATTAAAAAAGGTAGCAAAGCAATAGGACAAACATGTAAACCTGAAGACCTGAAGTATCACAAGGAGGGTACACCCTCCTAGTACGAGATGTTATTCCCCATAGTTTTTCAATATGAGATTGCGTCCACGAGGAGTTCACCATTGCAAGATGTGAACAGGAACCAGCAAATCCATACATCCAGCTAAATATGGTATAATAAACAACTTTGCACCTAGACAATAAGGCACTGCAGGAAAAGAGCATTCTTATTTGATAGATAACAGTACAATTTTCCCAAAATACAGATAAATAGTAAGGATCAAACAATCAAACACCAGCTCACAGATTATAGGATCACCACATATAAAGATGAAAAATAAAGAGAAGAATACAGAATAGGCAATTCAAGAGTGCCTTGCTCTCCAAGTTCTAAGAGACTACCAGACTGCCTATCTCTCTCTTCCTCCCTTCTATTTATTCCCTTCACTCCACTACCTTAGCCAGCTCAGCAAGTTAGTTACTCTAATACTCTCCCTTTCCCCTTGTTTGTTTTATTTTTCTAACCCGCCTCGTATAAAATTTAGAAAAATCCATATTGGGATTAGTTATAAATGTGTGATTATCCCTATCATTGTTTGTTAGTATAAGATGTCAGGTCAATTAGAAAAAGAGATTCAGATACTTCAACTTTAGTAAACTCAGGTGCTTAACATTGAAAGACCCGAAAAGATGGTCATTGTCCACACAAAATATGTGTATGAAGTGGAAAAGTGGCTAAGATTATGAAAGCACATATTAGCATATGCAAATGGCACCTTTTAGCAATCAAGGCATCATTATTGTACATAGAACTCCGAGAATGAACACGTGACAGCATGTCCAAACTGATTGTAGGGTAATGAGTATAGCACATAACTTTGCATCCAAACATCCTGGCAACTGGATAAGTAAAAGCATATCCACTCGTATCTAAATAGTACAAAGGAGTAAACTTGGAAAGAGCTTCCCATGAGAGATAGACAGATCCGATGCTTTGACCAATCATTGTAAAACGAGGATACATGGTCTCTTCGATCCATTTTCTGTTATACAGATGGACCACCTAACACAATACTGCAAGATGTGAATAACATGCAATGAATGATATGAAGTTTGATCAATCTTTAAATTAATACAGCCTAAAATTAACTAAAAGAAACTATTTTATAAGGAAATAAAAAGGAACATATATTCATTTTAAAAAGTCATGGAGAGAACAGTACTATCGAATGCCAGCCATTAGGCAGCGAAGACATGAAAACAGAATATAATTGCCCTACAGAATAATGATGTGCAGATCAATCATTACAGAGATTTTCATGTCCTCAAATTTTCGGTAATCTCGGCAGGGCTAGAGCCCAGGGTTGACCTTACCAGGCCCCATTTGCTAACTTTTGGTCCCAAATAAATTGTGTATGATTTGTTATGTAAACACTTGTTTGAGTGAAGTATTTTTCTGGCCCGCTCCAGTATGAATTTCAGTGTCCAGGCTCCCACCTGAATCTTGGTTAAAGGTGAAGTAATTCTAAGTATATTAATATGTGGATTTATCATCAAAAGAAAATCCACATTCACGTTTGTTAGTGATTTTCTTACTCAGATAAGCTATGCTATTTCAAAGATGAGCAAAAAAACAGATAGAAAGGCTGTACTTTTCAGGTTCTAACCCCTTTCAAGAATGAAACTAGTTCATCACATTGAAGATCATTCCTCGCTACGGCCACTCTATTTCTCAAAATCTCATACTTCATGCAACTGTTTCTAGACACGTTCCGTACCTGAGGATGATTAAGCAGTTTGACACCAAATCGATCAACGGCCCGAGCATTGAGACTTTCCGGAGAAGCATCATGGTCGCCAGTGTAAATAACGCAGCTGAGATCAGGGCATTCGTCTTGGACGGCTTTTACAGCACACCAAAGGACTCGTTCTCCGCCTCCGCCGTCATTAGTATAAGGGTGGAAAAATCCAACTGCTTTCTTCCTGTTCCTGCGCCCACTGAGCACGACTATTGTGAGCCACAGCACAAGGCAAAGAACGGTCGTAGTGATTGTGATCAGTATCCAATTCGCCATTGACCCAAATTTCGATCCAGAGAAGCTGCAAGGGTGAGAAGCAACAGATTTCAGAAATGGTACACATAAAAATAAGTAATTCTAAATCATTTTTATTTCCTTCTTTATCAATTTTATATTAATCATATAAGGGTGTTTGGATTTGATTCTTAAAACTGTCTCTGCTCCTTCAGAGAGCAGAAGCAGAAGTTGGAGTGTTTGAGTAAAAGTGCAGAAGTGATTCTGATGCTCTAATTTACTCCTAGAATCAGTTTTTTTAGAAGCTGGGGGTGACCAGCTTCTGAAAACTGATTCTGATTCTACTTCTACTTTAAAAAAGAAGCAGAATCATAATCAATTCCAAACACCCCCTAAATCTACATTTATTAATAACTTGTTTACCTTCTCTTGTTCCAATGTTAGCAAAACAGGATTTTTTCTCAAAATAATGCTAAATAAATAAATATGGAGTAATTCTCAAACTACTGTTGCGTTAAAAATAATTCCCAAAATACTAGTAGAGTTATTCGTGATTAAGAAAAGTTGTCACTTTTGCGTAGTAAATTCTACAACAGCTTATTCAACCGAAGAAAATAAAAACCTGCTCAGTACAGTGAACTCAGAAATATCAAACAATTGCTCTTTATAATCAATATAGGTCGCTCAAAAACAAAACATATATGAGATACACAACAAATCAATGGAACTACATTGGATCAAAATCCTAGAAATATCATATAAAGTTGATAATAAATCCAGTGTTTCAGAAAATAATTCTATCAGCTGGTTCATGTTTCACAGAATAACGTAAAGTACAAATATCACAAGTCAACATGATCATCATCATAAAGCTCATGTGGTTGTGCATGTGCCTGAGATCGATCGGGGGTGTATGTGCTGGTTACGAGGCTGAAGAACCACTCTATAAGGTCGTAGTGTCTGGGAAGACCCTGTTGTGGATGTAGATGTCGTGAAATACTGAGAGGCGGCCACATATCCATGGTTTACTTGGCCCAATACATCAGCACATGGTGCAGCAATTTCCGAGCATACATGTTAAATCCATTGATTTGTTGTGTGTCTTGAATATGTTTTGCTTTTTTAGTGACCTATATTGACTATAAAGAGGAGTTGTTTGATGTACTGAGCAGGTTTTTGTTTTTTCGGTGGAATAAGCTGTTGTGAAATTACTGCGGAGAAGAGCCGCCACTTAGAGTGGTGGCTTTTGTACAGATAGAAGAGTCGTCACTTCAATTGGCGGCTTTTGAATTGTATAGAAGAGCCGTCACTTCAAGTAACTACATCAGTACATGATTTTCATTATGAAATCATGTACTCCTATGATTTTCAATATAATACAATTTTCTATACCAATATAATGCACAATTTTCAAATCTAACGTTCTAGTTCGTATATAGAAATAATGTCAGAGTGATTTATTTGAATAATTATTGTATATAGAAATAATAGTTCAACAAGGGTTGTAAAATAATAAGTACATTAGAAAATTATTTTGGTAGTAAAGCATCAATATTGAAGACAATGAAGCAAAAAATAGATGTTTATATTTTACTCGCAACCTACATGGGTCAACTCACTTAACCTGCAACTCGTACAAGTTGACTCACGAAACCGGTGAGTTAATCGGGGTAAATAGATGTTTACATTTTGACTTGGACTCATTTTGACAGCTCTTTCCATAGTCGATCGATTTTTCTTTTAAACCCTGATTGACGAATTTAATACAATTAATTTCCCCTGCAATTTTAATAAAAACTTTAAGCACATTATTTCCCGTGCAGAGCACGGGTTCACATACTAGTAAAAAATCAATATAGGATGGATGTAAGTTGTTATGTTGTGGGAACGCCTCATGGTGAGCATCCCGCTCCTAGTGCTAAACGATTTCATTTAATTTTAAGGTTTAACTAAAAACACACGAATGAACAGAAACTCTGATTTTTGTATAAAAGGTGTTCATGATATGATGTAAATGTCGTGCATTGAAATGTAACTCGCCTTGCTGAGAACTGTAATTTTAGTTAACAGCAAATGTAACGTGCACACTCGAATGTAACTAAGATTTAACATGTATCATTTACAATATAAGTTTTTTGAGATTAAAATAAAGCATACTAATTCAAACATAAATTCATTATTTAATACCTGAAAATATAAGTTTTATTAAATCATATACTATATTAATTGTGTGATTGTAAAATGTAACTTGTTGAAATGTAAATCACGTTAATTGAAATGTAACTTGAGCTCAGTCGAAATGTAAATGTAAGTCATTTATAAGGAAATGTAACTCAATATATTATCAAATATGACATGTAATGCACATGTAAATGTAATTTCATGTATTATCAAATGAAACTCCATTAATTGTGTACAAATGTAACACACACATATGAAAATGTAAATCGCACATATGAAAAATGTAATCTCATCTCATCTATTATTACATATTGTTGGGATATTGACCCAGAGGCCCAATACCCAGATCGAGAAGGCCCAAGATATCCGGCCCAAGCAACGGGCCCATCACTCTATGATGAATAGATCCAGTAAGAAGACATACCGAACGGAGTTCGGGCCATATATCATACTTGGGCCAATTTGACAGCATCTTCAGTACAGCCCAACATCCCGTTCGAGCAACGGCCAACCAGCAAGTGGCCAGGTGCAATTAATGCCAGACTGTGACATCAGCAAGTGGAAGCATGGATGACCAAGTCGGTGGAACAACGGCCAATCAGCATGAGGCAGCACATGCTCTCCATTAGTATAAATAGAAGGTTTCAAGTCATTGTAAGGGTTAGCATTTCAATACTCAGACTCTAGAATAGCATCATTGCTCTTATTTCTTGTATTAAAGCATAGTTTCCGACCTACCGATCGGGAAATTCCTTGTAATCAGATTGGTTAATTAATATAAGTAAGCTTTCGAGTGTTAGTTAGTTCAGATCTTATATTTGTTATACACATTGATTCTGTGCCATTCCTGATATATCCAAAGTTCGTGTTGGGCTTTCGGATCTACGGGATTTACCCTCAACATTGGCGCCGTCTGTGGGAAACTTGCAAAAAGTTTCACATTCAAATCATCCAAAAACTTCTATTTTCAAAATGGTCAGAATCAGTTCCTATCATACAAGCAACGGTTCACGCCGTCACGGGAGGAGTCACACCCCGGGGAGTCAAAACCCTCAGGGACAATCCAGTCGAGGATCGTACCCTCGTTGTGACGGGGATTTTGTGATTCCCGAATCTCTGAGGAGAAATCCTCAGGCCATGCGTGACATTGCCCAGGTCATGCAGCATATGGCGAACGAAGAGGAAGGGGGTTCCAGCTTTACAGAGGAGACCCCACGCACGAAAACAACCACAGCGTCATCCCGTTCGCATGCCCATCGGGATAATCGACGTAGCGCCCCATCAACAGCGCACCACAGTCCCAGTGACCGAACCCCGATCGGGTCACAAGCTAGAGGACCAACTCCCGTTGGTCATCATTTCCAGTATGCCGAGTGGGAAAATACTAGGGCCCCTCAACGGCAATGGGACCGGGGTTGTACGGATATGAGGGCTCCACCACCGCCCCCTTTGACGGCCCAGGAGGAAGAAATGGCCGAGATGAGGCGGAAAATGAATGAAATGCGAGACCAGATGAACAGGGCGCCTGTACAACCTGCCCCGGTTCAGCTGGGAATTACTTCCTCGTTCACTAGGGAACTCATGTACGCAGATATCCAAGGGGGTGCCAAACCCCCGACCGGCCAAATCTATGACGGGGTGGGAGATCCCCACGTACATCTGAGGAGTTACCAAGGGGGACTCATGCTGCTAGGAGCACCCGAGGTCGCCATTTGCCGGTTGTTTTTCAGCACGCTCAGGGGACCTGCCAGGAGTGGTTCGGGACACTGCAGCCCGGGTCAATCAACAGCTTTGCCGAGTTGTCGGCGTTATTCTTTGCTCAGTTTGCTTCCAGTGCCAATCCCAAACGGCACTTCAGCTATTTGACCAGCGTGAAGCAAAACGCCAAAGAGACCCTCAATCAATTCCTGAAAAGGTGGAGGGATGAAACTTTAACGGTGGGAAACATGACGGATGATACCGCCATTACCCTATTCACAAATGCTCTCCGAACGGGGGAGTTGTATAAAGAGTTGAAGAAAAATCCGGGTACGGCGTACGCCGAGGTATTAGATAGGGCTCGCAAGCATGCCGCCCTAGAAGAGGAGATAATGATCAGGGATAAGGTCATTACGCCTGCTGCCCCGATCAGAATGGCCGATCGGCTGGGTCCTAGCCTAGCGGCCACTTTACCTCCCAAACAAGGGAGATTTACACCCCTGGTCCTATCAATAGCGACCATCTATCAGCACGAGAGGGACAATATTCCCATCCCGACTGATTCTGGACAGTTCATGGGAGCGGATGACAATGCTTTCTGTAAATATCACAACAGAAAGGGTCATGCCACCAATGCCTGCAGGGCCCTACAAACAGCCATTGAGGATCTGATCCGAAGGGGCCATCTGGGCAAATATGTGAATAAAGATCCAAATGCTATGGGCACGTTGAAACCGGCCACGAAACCTAATAGCTGGCGCCGGGATGCTCAACGTGACGCCCAACCTCAAAATGATGTGTATGTTCCTCCCAGGGATGAGCCAGAGGGCTCGGGAGGCCCTGGAAAGAAGCCTCGAATGGAGGTCAAGGTTATATTTGGGGGCGGGGAGA